CCATGCAGCTCATTTTAGCGACCGGGTGGTGATTGGATCAATTCAATCAATCGATCTGATCTAGTTTTGAAAACATTGGCTAACGTCTAGAGTTGATTAGAGTCTATTATGTGAGGATTAAATTAAGATTAGTTACTTAGCGAGAATTCTTAGTTGAATTGTTTCATAACAGCCCTGTGTTTATAAGGCACCACTCTATAAAAACAATAATTAGTGTTTAGAATTTGGATTGCAAAACAATTTTCCATTATGGTAGTTTTCCCTTTTAAATTGCAAAGTTCATTTTCATCATTCCAACATGTTACTTTGAGTAGTACATCACACTATCTTTTAGTGACTAGATTATTTTATTGACAATTACTAATTAACAGAATGCTAAGCATATGCAAGAGATTATGAGATTCACAACAAAAAAGAAATAAGTTAGCCTAACTGAAAAGAAAATGAATAAATTATACAAATTCTTATAGAGGTAATTTTGATTACACTATCATTACCATGTTTAAATTTAATATGAAAATAACTATGATTCTTGGTGGTAATGCCATTCTAGTAAAACAAACAAATTCTAAGTTTGAGTCGTAAGTATATAGTCAAGTTGTTTGGCGGTTAATATGAGATGGTTGTTTCTCTTTTTTTTTTTTTTTTTTTGGCCTGTTTAATTTGAAGGAAGGAGGTAGGGAAACTTTATTTTTCTCAAATTAAACTGGACTTAGAAGGGAATTTATGGACGATAGTCCTATAATATGTTCCCATTTATCTAAGTTTTTTTAGTAATTTTAAAAATTAAAAACAAACACTTTGTTTAACCAAATTATCATGATCACTACTTTTTAGAGCATGTTTAGTTTGAAAAATGGTAGAAAATTTCTGCTCATATTTTTCATTTTTCACATTTTATTGATTCCATGAAACAAACACTTTACCATATGCTTTTCTTGAATTTTACGATTCCATGAAATTAATAAATTTCCTAAATTCGGAATATTTCAGAAAATGAAATTATTTTCTGTGAGAGCAGGGGTGGACAGTGGGCACCCAACATGGGCCCGTCCAAGAAACATGATGCATGCCGAAGCTACATAAAATCATCAACAGTGCATTTTGCTTAACCATCTTTGTTTTCCTTGGGGAGTATCGGTATCCTATCCTCTCTGCTTCCTCTTCATTACGTATTCCCCATCTTTATTGCCGGAAGGATGGAAAATGTGGGGAAAGGAAGTCCTCGAAAAGTGAATGTGAGAAAGGAAAATCAAATCCTCCCATTTTTGTACTTGTAAGTTTTAACGGACCCCTTTTGCCTTGCGAGTCAGGACAAAGCCGGGTATGAAAGGAACTATCTTCCTCCTCCTTATTCCTCTCCTCCAATATTTATACGGGGAATCCAATTTCCTACTATTACTTCCTAAGTCCATTTACGCCTTCGTGATGAGTAAAAGCACGTCCAAACAAACAACCAGAATTTTCCGTTATTTGGAATGACAGCCGTTTTTTCCGCTTTATTTTTTATGTAGTTCTAATATATCATGTGCCATTGTAAGCTATAATCACAACATATCATTATATAATAAAATAATATATATATTTTTGACACAGGAATTTTATATTTTATTATCCTAGCTAGACTCTGAGTAAAAAATAAAGAATAAGAAAATTTGAAATGTTAATTTGTCAAGATAAAATGACAAGTCCACGTAGTCAAGGAAATGTTAATACTGATTAAATTCAGTCTTGAATTTATGAATATCGATTTAGTGTTGCATGTTGGTGTTGCCCCAATCAACAACCCGCTTGTTTGACTTGATTGATTTGCACAACTGCACTTATCGTCATCGTTAAGAAGCGTTAGTGGCACATCGGCATCAAACCCCTAGTAAAAAAATTATAGTAATAGGGTTTTACAAGTAAGGTCATGGAATTACAAACAAGAATTTATTTTTCATTGACAGACCATGCAAAGCCTTCGAGGTAGATCTTGGAACCTGCATTAATTTTACATTCCAAAATCTAAATATTAATCAGTGATAATTAATTAACAAAACTTAAATAGAAATGAGAAGAAAATATGAATGTTTAATCTATGGGTACATTGGCTTGTCAGGTCAGATTGCTTGTAACTTTGCTTTGATTCCTCAATCCAATCTTGAAAGTATTATTTCTAAGAATTAGAAGCAGTTACTAATATTAACAAAAGTGAAATGCTTTGAGATTTTTGTTTCCTGAGCATCAACACGAGCACCCAGTCTTGCTTTTATGAGACATTACATCTAAGAGGTTTAGTCTAGTTTGGCAACAGCAGGAATTCCTTTTCAATAAGCATAAGGTTCTCTTTCAATCCATCTGGTCCTATTGTTGCCTTCAGTTAGATATCATTTGACGAAAACTCCCATGGTTTTTTATTTTTCTCTGGCCTACATAAATATGTTACATGTGCTACTAAGAAATGCATGACCAATGAGGCATAAGTTATACAAGTAGTGTCTCTCTATAAAGATATAAAAAATATTTATCAGGCATATCTATAAAAATTTAAATGCAAAAATAACTTTAAATTATATTATTTTAATAAATTTTTGTTAAAAAAACTAAAATAATATAATTTTTAAAACAAAAATATAATTATTTTATTTTTATAATATTTTATTTAAATAACATAATTTTTAATATTATTCGGCATAATTTTTTTTTGACTTGACTGAAAGA